GCTGGAGAACCCCCTGGGTGCTGCCGATGCAGAAGGAATGGGTCAGGGCTCTAAGGCTCGCTGTGAGCTTGGAAGCCCCAAGAACATCCCCCCTGGGGCAGCCCATTAAAGAAAGCAAACAAACGTGGAACAGGTCCACGTGACAGAGATCGGGCGCAAACTCTGGTCGCCAACAGGACAGGGCAAAACCTGCAGGTAACTCGAAGTGATGGGGTCTTCCTTCCCCAGCTGCTCTGGCTGTTGTTTTGCTTTGCAGCTCCAAAAAGGATCAATACCTACTACACCGTAGCAGAAAACAAGGACACGGGCTTTGGTTTGTAAGCCTAGGTTTGGGGGGGGGTTGGTTTGCTTCTTTTGGTGTCCAAATCGCAACCACGGAAGAAACGCTCATCCCCCAAATTGCACTGCAATAAACCCCAGAGCTATTATAAACCCCTCCTAGAAGTGAGGACAAACTCAGTTTCAGGATGAAGCTTCACATGTTGTTAGTATACGGCTGCTTCCCTAGGACTGATCCTGGCCTTCCCGATGGCTACAGCATTTGGACCATCTCAGAAGTCTGAGAATCCTGCGCAGTTACTTCTCACTTAGGGAGAAATCACAAAACCCAGCAACTTTCGTCTAGAAAATGCATATTAAAAAAAAATTCTAAAAATACATCATCCCTGTGCCATTTAATTAATGGTTACGTGTTAGCGTGTAGAAGCAGAGGGGAAGGAGATTTTGCAGGCAGGAAGGACCTTTTTCAAACCACTCTTTCAGTGCTCAGATCTTGATCCTAAACTGCAGTGGGAACCCTCTGTTTAGCTGACGACGTTATTAAGACAGAGAGCAGAACATTACCTGTCACACTGAAACTGTGTCAGATCCCAAACTGCGGTCTGGGCATCTTGGCAGATCACATCAGGCACCGAAGTATCTAAGCAACCTAACTGAGTAGGGAAATTCAGTAGCTAGTCCCAACGGATTGCCTTTCCAGTCAATGGAGTGAGAGGAGCTCTTCCAGAGAGTGCTCCAGGAAAATAATTCCACCAACACTGAGATGCAAAGTACTCGTCTTTCTCCATCGACCACGTAAAAGAGGCCAGCTTCATGCATATCTAAGTTTGGTACTTGAAGTTAGGCAGCATAAATATTTTCCTAAGGTGTTACCTCCTAACCTTTCCATCCAACTGCTTCTAAAGGTCTCCAGGCTCTTCCATCTGAAGAACAAGTTGGAAACTTGTAGAAGCAACTGGAA